TGCGCCCCCCCCCCCAGCACTATCTCTCTCTCTCTCAAAATAAATAAACTTTTTTTTTTTAAGTTGATTTATTTATTTTGAGAAAGACAGAGACGGCGTGAGTAGGGGAGGAGCAGAAAGAGAAGGAATCCCAAGCAAGCTCCACACTGTCAGCTCAGAGCCTCAGGGCTGGATGCAGGGCTCCAACCCATGAAGCCATGAGAATATGACCTGAGCCAAAACCAAGAGTCAAATGCTTCACCAACTGGGCCACCCAGGCGCGCCCAAAAGAAATAAACTTAAAAAAAAAAATCCCTAAATTCTGAATATATCATCTGTACTTACAGTAGAATAGTCATATGCACTGGTCATTCTAATACTTATTGAGTAATTACTACGTGCTAGACACAGTACTAACATGGTTGAGACTTCTAAAAAGCAGTGATTACGCTTTTCCAAAGTAAAATTAAATAGTGAACATTTTCTAAGCCTTTCACATGTGGCATCTCATTTAATCCTCACAAAATTCTTGTAAGAGATGTGGAAACAGGCCCAGAGAGTGAACTGACCCCAAAGTCACAAAATTATTAGATGGTGGAGGCAGAATAAGAATCAAGGCAGCCTGATTCTATACCCTGTGTCCTTAACCACCACCCAACCCTTCCTGCCAGATCTTGCTTGGCTCCAAGTCTTACGTGGTGACGCACAGAGACCAACAATACAGATTAATTCCAGCAGCCATTTGTTGAATGCTCATTAACACAAGAAGCTCAGGGGCAAATTCTCCCAACAACCCTTTAAGTGCTTCTCTTCATTTCCACTTAATAGATGAGGAAACAGAGGCTCAAAGGAAGTGAACTGGCGCCTGCGTGGCTCAGTCGGTTGGGCGTCCGACTTCGGCTCAGGTCATGATCTCCCTGTCTGTGAGTTCAAGGCCCATGTCAGGCTCTGCGCCGACAGCTCAGAGCCTGGAGTCTGCTTCAGATTCTGTCTCCATCTCTCTCTCTGCCCTTCTCACTGTCTCTTTCTCTCTCTCTCTTAAAAATAAAATAAAAACAAAAAATTAAAATTAAAAAAAAAAAGAGAAGTGAATTAACTTGTCCAAGGTCACAGAGCTACCATAGTCCATGCTGACATGGTGCTTAGTATGTACCAGGCAGTGTTCTAAGCACTAACTCATCTAACCCTCACAACACTGTATAAGGTAGGCTCCATTATTACCCACCATTCTTAGTCAAGTAACTGGTTCAAGATCTCCCACTAGTAAATGGCAAACTCAAGATTCACTCTAAATGTCAGCCTCAAAAACAACTTCAGGGTAGTTATTGGCTACAAAGTGGCTGAGCAGAAATTCAAACCCAGGCCCACCTCCTGAGTGAGAGTGAAAAACGGTCTTTTTTCTTTTTTTTTTAATGTTTATTCATTTTGAGAGAAAGAGAGACAGAGAGTGCGAGTGGGGGAGGGGTAGAGACAGAGGGAGATACAGGATCTGAAGTAGGCGGACTCTATGCTGAACTCAAGAACCTCAAGATCATGAACTAAGCAGAACTCCCACACTTAACCCACTGACCCAGGCGCGGGGAGACAGTGCCTTCTATCTTCTTTCCAACAGGCTAAGCATGGCTCTCAAACCTGTTGCGGTGCAGAGGGGTGTTAGGAAGAGGGGTGTTAGGAAGAGGGGAGTAACAACTGCTCTGGAGACCCCAGGGAAGGGGCATTTAAGCTGCATCCTGAAGGAGACAGTGCTTCCTGGACAAAGAGAGGCACCCTGCAATTTATTATTTAAAAAGAAATGAAATTGTGGACTTTTAAAAAGGTGATATAATAATGAGGAGCAAATTATTCAAAAGCAAGTGTTTCAGATTGAATCTGAAAAGCTTTAATTTTTTCAATTAGAAAATGCTCTTGATGAAGGAAAAACAAGCTTTTATTCCCTTGAATTTTGACTACATATTAAAAAATCATCGAGGGACAGAAATGTGCAGTTTGCCTTTTGTAACGTTAAACTCAAACTGACTTCCAAAATTTTACTTCCTCAATCTAAGGCTGCAAGCAGGGTGGTTACTAAAAACCTTCAGGGATCTTTGCAAGAATCTCTCTCCTTCAGGTCCTGAAACACAGCTTTTTCAAACCAAAATGAGCCTAGAGATTCAGGCCAAGCATTAGAAGGAAGAGGTGAGCGCCTCATTCCAGCTGGGCCAGGGGCAGGCACGCAAGTTGTGGCCACAACGTTTCAGAGCCAGGTTTTTTTTTCCCCTGGCAAACTGATTTATGACCACACCACGGGCAACTGCGGAACCGATCAGACCGTGTAAGTACATTACTCAAACATGAATCCAAGGACCTGGATGGGATGCGAATGTTAAGGGGGAGATCTGGGGTTCACTGCCTGTCCTCGGCGCGATGGGACCCGTCAATTCCTAATTCTTGCAGCAGCCTAGGGCCAGTGGACTCTGTTCTCCAAAATGTGCGCGCTAGGGGAGTTGGCACAGCAGCAGGGCATCGGAGCAAGGTGCCTCCACGCCCCCTTGCGGACCCGAATGACGATTGATAAGGATGTGCCAATTTAGTGATAGGTAGTTTTTCAGAAACTGGGGTTTAGCCCCCACAAGACCCCTTCAAGGGGGATCCGGTGATCGGCCTCATTTTACAGATGAAAACGCGGAGGGTCAGGGGAGTGAAGCAGGACTTGCCAGCAAAAAGGAAAACCTCAAGTGAAGGCGATCACTGGGTTGGCCCTTTCATCTTAAAGAGTCTGGGGCTGCAAACGGCTTGGGGCCGCCCACCCCTCGCTCACTGGATAGAGTAGGGGTCGGCTGGCAGCCAGCAGGCCTTGGTAGTGCCCAGGTGCCCAGGAAGAGGGAGCGCGCGGCGGGTGCCTGCGCGTCTGCCGAGCGCAGGGCTGCAGCTGCGGGGCCGGGGCGCAGAGCGCACCACCGGCTCGCATGCGTCCGCCTTGGGAGCCTCGCGCCAGTCCCGCGTCGCCGGACGCCCGGCTGCAGCAGCAGCTAAGCAAGGGCGCAATGCCGACCGCCCACGCGCCCGCAGCGGTCCGGGAGCCCAGCGCGAGTCCCCAGGCACGAGGCACAAGCGTGTGAGCGCGGGACTGCTGCGGACACAGGCTGGCAGTGCCACCGCGCGCCCACCGGCACTGCCCCACGCCTTACCGTAGCTGCTCCCCAGTGACCAGGACCTCAGCCATGCGCTCCAGCTCCCTTTGCTGCGCTCCACCACTCCCACCGGTGCTGCTGTCGCTGCCACCGCTGCCACCGCTACCGCTGCTGCCCTCCTCCATGGTCGGGCCGCGCCGCTACTACCACTGTCTTCCCTAGACGCCGTGGGCTTGGGTGTTAAATCAGCCTGCCCTCACGGAGGCCTCCCCCGCCATCTTTGTCAGGGGCAGTCCCGTTGCTCAAATGCGATTGGCTAGAGAGGGAATCCCTGTGGGTAGGTTGAGGCGCTAGGCAAGTCCGCTCCAGGAACTCCAGCTTGGGGCGGTGGCTGGAGCCCCGCGTGGTCGGGGGGCGGGGCCAAGGGAGGAAAATATAAACATCTGGGCGGGGCGCCGGTTCTGCGTCGTGTGTGCTGGTGGAGGTTAGATAGGTGACCTCATTTTTCATTACCCACAGAGCTCATGCCCTGGGACCTTGGGGAAAGGTTAGGAGGTTGCCGAACAAGTGTAAAGGTATGTTTATTATACCGCCTGTGCTCCAAATTGGCAGAGTAAAAATACAATGAAATAGCTCGACAGTGAACAATGAAGGATATACTGATATACACGTCACTGCAGGGGTTGGTGAAATTAGGCGTTCTTCTCGTCCCAATGCCCTTCACCGAAGATAGCTTATTTACCTTATGGTGTAATCACTAAAGAACGCTGGCCAGGGAATCGCAGAGCTAGGATCCAGCTCCACGCCTATAAATTCCTACCAAAATGTGCTTAATCCTCAGTTTCTTCCTTTACAAAATAAAAATAATTATGGCTACCACTTGTTGACCTCTACTGCATTAAAGATGCCTCAGAGGAAAGAGAGGAAGAAATTCTTTAATTTTTGCAACAAATCATAAAATGAGTATTGTCCTCATTTTGTATCAGGAAGCAGGCTGAGAGAGATGGGGTGACTTGTCCAAGGCAAGCAGGTAATAAATGCAAGAAGAATCAAACCCAGGACACTCTAGCTTCAGAGTTGTGTTCTTAAAAGATTGCTTCTTGAAACGAGGATATGATGGCATTGTCTACAGGGAGGATGGAAGGAACTTTGACTAATACCAAATAAATGTCCTGTTATTCAGTCTCATGCAAGGTCAGAGCCTGGTCTGGAGGAAAACAGTAATGCTAATGGTAGTGGTCATTGTACTAAAGGGATATTGTTTGTTGACGATTTTTGCAACTTTTTACAATTTTTGCATATATACAGGTCTCTGCGCCCTTACAAGTAAATGTGAATTTTTTTTTTTTTAGTGAATACTGTATGGAAAGACAATCTTTCAACTGAAGATTTGTAGTAAGTTTACAGAATAAAAATGAAAATGAGAGGTCTGTCGAATAACAAATTCTCTTCTTTGTACATTTTATACCAATTCTGCTATTCAAGAATATTTATACTCACAATCCTGCAGGTTTATTATATTTTATTGTTCTGTTTTCTTGTCGTTTGTTTTTAAAGAAGATAATTGTAGCATTTTCCAATATTCTGCAAGTTCATTACCTAACTTACACAATTCACTGAACATTTATTCTGTGCTTTACATGGTGCTAAGCACTTTGTTTATATTATTTAATTGACCCCTGAGAGTTGGGTATTCTTATCGTCAACTTACAAGTGGAAAAGCTTAAGCATAGAAAGGTAAAGTAATTTGCCTAAATTTCATACCTGGAAAGTCAGTTAGGCAGCCCTTGAACCCTGGGTCTGTAGATCCTCAAGGTTATGCTGAGCCGTACTCCAGAAAAAGAACAATTATCCCACCACCTTGTGCATTCAACACCAAGGTATTAGGTAATTCTTTCACCAAAAGAAATTATCTAATTTTCTTAACTTTTTAAATAGACCATGACAAAAATGTAGACCAAGCAAGACATAGTTCTAAGTGAATGTGATTCTAAGAGCTTCATTTTGCATAAACTATAAAAATAACTTAACATCAGCAGTAGTCCCAGAATTAATGAGTTTAACAGCTGGCTGTCACTCATGTTTTAATCCTATATTATAGAATATCAAGAGTTTGCATGGACTTCACACTCGAACATGAGGTTTCTATACTGATTCTGTCATTTATTAACTCTGCAACTTTATGCTAGTTACTAGTTACTTACTTCTCTGGGCCTCAATTTCCCAACAAGAATAATAATTCTTACCTTATGGGGTTATTGTGTGCCTTACTAATAACATTATGTAAGGTTTTCATGTACCTTTCATGTAGCTGTTCTTTTTAATCTCTTTACTGCTTTTAATAATAAGAGGAAAAAGAAGGAGGAGGAGGAAAGAGAGGAAGGAGAAGATATTCTTACCAGATACTTTCCATGAGGAGTTTTTGGTACAAGGCAAAACACTTTTTCTCAAATTATCTCTAGTTATTGTTTTTAATTCTTAGTGGGCCTTTAAAATGAAGAAAAGTGGGGCTCCTGGGCGGCTCAGTTGGTTGAGCATCCTTCCAACTCTTGATTTCTGCTCAAGTCATGATCCCAGCATTATGGGATCAAGCCCATGTTGGACTCCTTTCTGAGTGTGGAGCCTGTTGAAACTTCTCTCTCTCTCTTTCTCTTCTCTCTCTCCTTCTGTCCTCCCTGGCTCACACACATGTGTGCTGTCTCTCTCTCAAAAAGTAAAATGAATCTTAAAAAAAAAATGAAGAAAAGAGAAGTGCAGAACTGACCTCCCTAAATCTGTTTTTATATAATGTTTTTAATCTTTTTGAAAGTGCAAAATGGAAAAAATTATTACACATTTCTAAGTATCGAGTGTTCAACACTGTTTTATCCAAAAACTCTGACTCCGTGTTGTAAATTGTATCACTATTGTGATTGCCTTTTGTTTTTTCTTCCTATAAATCTAGCTGCGTTTTCATTTAAATTCAGGCAACTTTCTTTATCCAAAAATCAAAAATTAAAAGAAGTATATTTTTGTAAAATACTTTATTGTTTAATGATTTATGATAAAAATTATGATAAAAACCTTTTATCATGAAAGTTTATGATTAGAAAAACACCTTGACATAAGGGGGAAAAAATTCAAGTCAGGAAAATACCTCATACCACTCCAGTGAGATACAGCAGAATTTATTTCTTTTGCTCAATGAGAAGGGTTTTCTGTGTGTGTGTGTGTGTGTGTGTGTGTGTGTGTGTGTGTGTGTACATGTCTACGGGAAGTGGGAACTGGTTTGCTATCATTGTTTCAACCTTTCTTTTGACATATGAGCTATGCCGTGCTCTATTGGGCTAGACGACAAACCCTTTTTCCTAACTTAGGGAAAGATTGGTCCTGCTCCTGAGGACATGTGAGCACCAGTGCTGAGTCTGTGAGCTCTAAAGCAACTGGTTGCAGAATAGACTGTGATCTCTAGGTATTGCTAGACAAGAGATGGGCACTGACATGGTGATTAAACCAGTGTGAGGATCTGAAAAGGGCTGAAAATTCCAACAGACCTCGGTTTGATTCCTGACTCCATTGGGGCAGGTTCATTATCATCCCTAGTTTTGGCCCCCTTTTGTAAAGTCAAGATCACACGACTGGTCCCATTGGGTTGTTGGGAGGACTAAACAAAATGTAATGAGCGCACTTGTTACAGTTGGGAGCTATTGAATATAGTAAGCCTTCTCCTCCAGCCTTGTCGTGCTCACCTGCTTCGTGCCTTCTGGCTGTTTCGGTGCTCTGGAGATGGTGCTTCTCAAACTTCAGGTAGATGCGTGCGCGCGCGTGTGTGTGTTCAATCCATTGAAGATGGATAGTTTGGTAAAATGCAATAGAAATGAACATTTAAAATGGAAAAAAACACAGCCCCACTTTGTGATTGTCGTGGTCAACAGACAGAAAATTGGCCAGTCGTTATAAACATTTCACTCAGTGTCTGTATGTCTCAATGTCTCTCGGTGCAGGTAACGGTCCCCAGTTGGCAGACCACACTTTTAGCAGTACTGGTTAAGGGTAAGCAGCAATGTGAGAGGATGAACTTGAATAAAACATGTGGAAGAATATTGTCAACTCTGAATCTTAATAACATGTTAGCTATGAGTACTGTTTTGTTGCCTTTCAGTATACACCAGTATTGTTCCCACTTGATCTTGAAGATTAACTCAGGCTCCACCTTCCCTGTGGTATCTTCTTGTACTCCCTGACAGGTGCGTTGTTTCCTTTCCTGCGACTTGACATGATATCAGAAGTCTTACGTTACTTTTAACCGTTAATGGGAGTCTCTGTTCCCCAGATTTTGTTCTCTTACCGTGAATGGAAGCAAACTGATGGTTTAGTAATATCCTGTCTAGATATTTGTGCTGACTGACCCTTTAAGAAGGGAAAACTAAATGTAAAAATAGAGGAAAAATAAAATTTTCATGTCATTATTCGCATCTATTTTTAGTATTTTTGTCGTGTTTGATTCATCTTTTTTGTAGTGATAGAAATCAAACATCATAAATAAATGTGAAGTTCTCTTGTCCTCCAGTCCCAGTCTTGCTTAGGTCCCAAGGAGTTCTCAACTGCTGGAAGGGCATCAAAACTAGTTAATACTTTGGTATATGCTGCCACCTAGTGACTGATTTCACAATGACACTAAATGATAGTGGGTCTCCTATAGGAAAAGGACTAACTCCAAGGGGGGCTTTTTGGAAATTTTGGGTGGGGATTGTGGTGTGTACTGTTGTTGGGACTGCTCCTGGCTTTTCCTGAGCAGTAGATGCTAGATATTTAGGGATGCTAGATATTCTCATTTTCTTGGGACAGCACATCCTAAGGAATTGCCATAAACCCTGAATGTCTTTCCTAGGTTCTGTGGGATATTCTCGTAGGTGAAAACCCTCTTTGCTGATCTCTGAGCTTAGAACCCAATTTAATTTTATATAGAAACACAAGATATTTTTTTTCACAATTTTAATATAATTATGACTTGTCCAGGAATGCAATTATTGTCTACATTGAGGGAAAAACTGCACTTTTCTCAGAACTTTACCAGGAACGGTTCATCATGACAGAAAATTGTTCCACCTGTCGTGTGTGGTACACACACTATGAGTACAGCATCCCTTTTTCAGTCAGCACCTGTTAGCTCTTGCATGTGTGGTGATTCTGTGTGTGTTTCTAT